CCATTTCCTTCTCCAGGGGATGTTCCCAACCCAAGGACTGAACCCCTGTCTCCTGCTTGGCAGGTGGATTCTTTGCCACAGAGCCACTAGAGAAGCCCCTATTTCCTGCTGCCACCATCGTTAATTATCTTAGCTAGATCTTCTGCGCAACTTTCTGCAGCTTCCACATCCGCACTACCTCCTTCACCTTGCACTTTTGTTACGGAGACAGGGTCTTTCCTTATGTCTCATGAACCAACCTCTGCTAGCTTCAGACTTTTCTTCTGCAGCTTCCTCACCTCTCAGCCTTCAGGGAATTGAAGAGAGTTAGGGCCTTGCTCTGCATTAGACTTTGGCTTAGAGAACGAATGTTGTGGCTGGTTTGATCTTCTGTCCAGACCACTACAACTTTCTCCACATCAGCAGTAAAACTGTTTCACTTTCATTTGTATATTCACTGGAGCAGCACTTTTCATTTCCTTCAAGCACTTTCCTTCACATCCATAACTTGGCTCACTGATGCAAGAGGCCTAAGTTTTCAGCCAATTTCTGCTTTTGACATGCCTTGCTCACTAAGCTTAATCATTTCTAGCTTTTGATTTAAAGGGAGAGAGATGCAACTCTTCCTTTCACTTGAACAATGGGGCCACTGTAGGATTATTAACTGGCCTGACTTCAATATTTCTGTGCCCCAGGGAATAGGGAGGCCTGAGAAGAGGAAGAGAGGTGGGCAAAAGACCAAGAGTGGTGAAGTCAGAACACATAACGTTCATAGTCACGTTTGCCACGTTCCCTGGGTGTGGTGTGTGGTGCCCCAAAACAGTTATAATAGTAACACCAAAGATCACTGATCACAGGTCACCACAACAAATATGATCACAACGCCAAAGTCTGAAATCTTCTAAGAATTACCAAAATGGGACACAGAGACACAAAGTGAGTAAATGCTGCTGGGAAAAGTGGTGCCTACAGACTTGCTCCACAAAGGGTTAACACAAACCTTCCGTTTAATAATAATAATGCAGTGTTTGCAAAGTGTGATAAAGCTATAGGTCTGCCTATATGGTTGATAAAATCATAATAACTGTATGGTAATAGATGGTAACTAGATTCACAGTGGTGGTGATTTTCTAACACACAGAAATATCAAATCACTATGTTGTACACCTGAAAGTAATATAATATCATAAGTCAACTATACTTCAATAAAAATTTTCATGAGTAAATAAAATAACGCTGAAACACTGCCTCAGTAATAATATAGAACATAAGCATTTGGTGCAACGGCTCCAACAGGGAGGAATCCAGGGAAGGTGAGGTTTGGGGACAGGGCTCCAGGGGTCAGAGGCGAAGCGTGCGGCCCTGTCTCCGGAGGGAAATTCTGAATGAAGTTTGGGGTGACGTGCAGGAGAGGGGAGCCAGAGAAGGAGGCGGGAAAGGGCTGAGGGCAAACGGGCGGCCCCCTCTGCTCCTCGGCACCAAGGCTGGCCCGCAGGCCCCCTCCTCCCACCCCTCTGTCTTCCAAGGGGCCCCAGCCCCGAACCAGGGGTGGAGCCGCGCCCCGTCCCCGGCCCAGGCTCTCCCAGGCAGGAGGCAGCCTTTCGGCGGTAAGCGCTTTTACTGCCTGGAGTGAGGGAAGCAGACAGAGCCCACGGTTCCTTCCAGATCAGCTCCATCCTCGCCTGCATCCCCACCCGCTCACTTCTCCATGTGGGCCGAGGGAAAGGCCCTGAAGCCATCGTGGGGAGCGTGGGACACACACAGGGCCCGTCCACGTAGCACAGAAGGCAAGTCTGCCAGGCTCCGCTCCAGCCCTGCGGCAGGAGCTGCGGCAGTGAGAGGCCGTCCGAGCGCCGGGGCAGCAGGAGCGGGACGGGAGACTCGGGGAGGACATCTCCCATCTCTGGCTTGCCTCCAAGGGACCCCTGCCAAAACCACTGTAAGCCAATCTAGGGCCAAATGAGAAAAGAAAGAGAGGAAGGTAGACAGGGCTCCCTGTAGAATAACCAGTCCTGAAGGTCACCTTTACATGAGGACGTAAGTCACAACGAATTTATATGTGCATATATGCATAGAAACACACGTGCATGATAGCACTGTCTATACATTGCTTGTTGATTGTGTATTAAAACTCTAGATTACGTGGAGTTTAGCTGATATGATATATTCATGTTCTGTGTATTGCAAAATGAATAGCATTTTAGAAACTAAAGACTGACTTATAACAACATTTGAAAAAGAGAATATTTTCTAACATATCATGTTTGGTGCTTCTCCCCATTTTTCACTCCACAGATTGGTTTACAAATGGTTTCTTCTAATCTACAAGCTCAGCTATGCATTTGGTGTTGTGGGTTATTTGGCTATCATATTTACAATGTGTGGATTCAATTTATTTTTCAGGTAAGTATCTCCAGTTAAGATATTGGTATCTCTGAGCACTTACTTGTAGCATTAACCCAGTCAAGTTCTCAGTGTCTGGAAGCCACATTTGGCCCTGCAGTTTTCCAGGGACACATTGTTCATAGTACTATCACTGGTATCAGATGCCACTGCAGGAGACTAGCAAACGGAAGAGGACACTCAGACTTAAAAGTTTTTAAAAAATTATAAGCTTTAAAGAGAAGAACACCATTAAAAGTTGGCCTATATTTGTTAGAGCAATTCTTATTGAACTAAAAAGTTCCCTTCTACAAAATTCTTAAGTGTCATATCCTTCTATATATCTTTCTTCTTTAAAACCCCTAGAACTATGCTATCCAATACAGTAGCTGCCAACCCATGTAACTTAAAGTATGAAATAAGAGGTGCTGTAAGTCTAAAATACACATTGAGTTTCAAAGACAGTATAAGAAAATAATTTTATGATTACATGAGATGACAGTACTCTGGATGTTTTAGTGAAATTATTTTTTCTGTTTCTTTTTACCTTTTATTTGTGGCTACAAGAAAATTTTTAATTATGTCCAATCTGTATTTCCATTGGACAGCACTGCTCTAGAATTTTGTTTCTGCTCTAAATCTCTTCTGCTGGAGGCATTTAGTAAAAGAGGAAACTGAGCACTTAGACATTGAGAGAGAAGTGAAGCAGTAACAGAGCAAGACAGTCTAGGGAGAAGCAAAGGAAACTGGGATAATAATATCCGTGACTCAGAATCATGTTCCCACTGGGAAGCTGGCCACTGAGATGTGCCGTGAGCGAGGCACTCAGGCAGAGCGGAGGCTGTGTCCTCGGCCCGTGTGTTGGAGGGGGAGCGCGAGACACACCCCCGTGGACGGTGGACATACCAGCCGTGGAAGGCAGCTCAAAGGAAGATCCCTGGAATATCTCTCATGGACGGTGGACATACCAGCCGTGGAAAGCAGCTCAAAGGAAGATCCCTGGAATATCTCTCACGTCAAAATTCCTCTAACTCTGGGACCTCCTTGGGGACCCTGTGGTTGGAACTCCAAGCTGGGGATGCAAATTCAATCTCTGGTCAGTGAACTAAGATCCCACAAGCCACATGACAAAAAAAAAATTACTCTAAATCTCTGAACCTTAGAAATTTGAAAGGCAGAAGTTAGCTGCCCATAAGTCATAAAATAAGGAAGAAAACTGGATGCAGACCCAGCCCCGGGGGGAGGGCTCTTACTGTGGTAACACAGCAATCTGATTTCATAGATATCTCATGCAATTTTCAGAGAGGGAGCTCCTGCCATTCCCTAGGAGGAAGGGGATAGAATATAACTGAAAAGATCTATTATTATTTGTTTAAGCTATAGAAAGACACTAAATTATTCTTTCAGCATATTGTCTATATTACTTTAATGTATGTAAAATATTTTTGTACTTTTATGAAGTCACTTGGGACTGTAGTTACCCCCAAATTATTATCTGTATGATTTTAAGATTCTTATCCAGGAATTCTCCTATAATGAGGTGTATAAAGAACATAACCCTTCAGATGGGAAATGAAGTGAGAATCATCAGTCGTGTCCGACTTTGCGAACCCATGGACTGTATGTAGCCTGCCAGGCTCCTCTATCCATGGAATTCTCCAGGCCAGAATACTGGAGTTTGTAGCCTTTCCCTTCTCCAGGGGACCTTCCCAACCCAGGGCCCAGGTCTCCCACATTGCGGGCGCATTCTTTACCAGCTGAGCTACCAGGGAAGCCCTCCGGTGGGAAGGAACTATTTTTTTCACCACTAATTGTCATTGAGCACAATTGTATTGAGATTCTTTTCTGTGGAACTACAACTTTGTTGCTCCACTTTTTATCACTTAGATTATAAATCCATGCTCCCCCGGGCATGGAGGGAAGGTCATCTTCATTCTTCATCACTGTCCCAATTTTCAGATCTTGGACAGATGAAGCTACCCACTGTGTTGGAATTCCCAGTTCACAACACCAAAAGATCTCTGCCCTCCAGGTCTACACAGCTTTTACCATTTCCTCCTCAAATTAAACAGAGTAAAAAAACAACCAGTAGAACTTTTCAGAGAGAGAGACTACCAACTCCTCTCCTCTCTCCACTTCCTTCCTGACTCAGTCAGATCCACCTACTTCCATTGCTAGTATTAGAGGCTCTTTTACAGAGGGAGCAAATAGAAAGTATGATCATTAAGATCCAGATATTACATCAGGAGCTAACCATTCACTTTTTAAAGAAAACTTTACCTTTAAAAAAAGAAGGTGGGGGAGGGGGGAAGGGGCTGATTCATCTTTGTTATACGGCAGAAACCAACACAACATTGTAAAGCAATTATCCTCCAATTAAAAATAAATTTAAAAATAAAAAAAGAAATAGGGGTTGTTGTAGAGAATCCTAGTGTATTTGAAATATCCAACTTGCAAAGAAAAAAATTTTTTTTAACACATGGCAACTATGGCATAGTAACAAATGACCTCAAAATGTGAGCTTGATTCCTAGTACCAATTGCCAGGTTAAGCAATCATTTTTCCTAAGTCTCCATTTTTCAAACCAAAGTAGGGCTAATGATATCTATCTCCAATATTTTTAGGTAAGATTAAGTATTTGAAAGCATTCTATAAAATCTAAGTTTGTTCACAGGGATCAAACTTCTTAGCCTGAGCTACTGTCCAGACCCCACCCCAAGCCACTTAAATTAGAGCCCTGGAAGATAGGCTCATGTATTAGTATATATTTTAAATCTCTCCCACGTAATCCTAACATACAGTTAGGGCTGAGAACCATTGCACTATTAAAGAGGTTCCTAATAATGTTAGCTGCCCACTGCAATCATCGTTGTCTGGAGAGCCTCCAAAAATATTGTCGTATGGGCCCCACCTCTAGAGAGCTGATGTAATTGGCCCAGGGTACAGCCTGCAGATGGAGGTTCTTTACAAGCTGCCCAGGTTTTCCCACCTACAGCCAAACTTGAGAACCTCTGGTTAGAGTTGGCCTGTTTCAGCACTGCAGTCCAAAGAAGACGTTAAACACTCTTTCAAGAATTATTTCGTCCACTTAGCCCTGAGTGGTAAAATTTAAAGGAATGAAGAGAATTTTAAATTCATTTAAAAAAAGAAGAAACATTAAACAAACAAATGGGGGGAAATACACTCAAAGTTCTGTTAGATGCCATGGCAAGAAATACTTTCCAAGCTGCAGTCCTTCCCGAGACCCGCCCCCCGCCCCCCAAGATGCCCACTCTTACTTCCCTTGGCTGTTGTTCTCAATAGAATCAAAGCTAGAGATTCCATGGATTTTGGCATCGTGTCCTTGTTCTATGGCCTATACTATGGAGTAATGGGGAGAGACTTCGCAGAGATTTGTTCGGACTACATGGCTTCTACTCTAGGGGTAAGCGTTACTTTCACTCTTTGAAATCATTTTTGGTATATAGAAAAATGCTCTCATCTTACACATTTGTGCCCATTTTCAGAAATAGGTGTTTTGTGGTTCTGACAGCCCAACTGCTCCCTGGGTTCTCCAGGCAGCAAATTATCTGGAAGTAACCATATCTACTATACTCCAATCGCCAACATTTAAAGGTTTAGTAAAAATTAATCTAAAAAATAAAAATAAAGGATTAGTAAAAATTCAACAATAACAAAAACCCTTTATCTGATAAAGCACTTTAGAATCAATCAATACCTCAGGGTAATAATCATCATAAAGATCGGTTATCATTATACAGCATTTAAAGAAATAGAAGAGATAAAAAGTGTGCTAAATGTATTCTGACTGTATATTATTCCCTGGAATTAAAAAAATCCCTAATAGTTTTTTTAATGCTCTTAAAATTAAAACTCAAAATGGACACACTTTCTGGTTAGATGGATTCCAGATTCACATATTAGGAGTAACCATCTGTGTCTAACACACATGCATCTCTTAAAAACTTATGTACCAAAGGTTCTGGGTGGGACCCAGTGGTTTCAGAAATTCCACATCTCTGTCCTCTACCAGTGTCTTGGCACACAGCCAGATATGAAATGGAAAAACCGTTGTGAATAGCAAGGGAAGACTGGACTTCTGGACTGCCGTTCTCCCTCTCCACTTATGGGCCAGGACTGAGTAGACAAGGCCTTGATTTCATCCCCTCGCCTCCCTTCCCCATCTCCGTAGACTCCATCTCACTGTTTCTCTAGAGCCTGGAATCTAACTTCTGTGGTGGAATGCTGGGATGGGCAGCCACGTGTCATCTCTAAGACAGCTGCCTTTCTAGTAAGGTTTAAGGTGAGCACAGAAGGGAGCATTTTCACTCCCAGTTCCTCCAACAGAAACCAGAGCCATCCCCCTTTTAAAAATTCGCAAAGCCTCTTGTGCCTGCTTATGGACAGGAGAGGAAGAGTTGAATGTCCTGTCCTCCAGTGGACCAGGAAAAAAAGAAAAAAACCTGGCAAAACAACCAAGTCTTTAAGCCCCAGCTTTATAGAGATTCCTCACCTGATTCCATCCCACCAGTCTATGACATCTTGGCATCTCCTGTCATCCTCATTCCAACCACCAAGTACTGTCTCAAGCCATTAGCACAGCCACCAGTGACTTCAGCTGATGGTGTGTGTGTGTATATGTGTGTGTGTGCACTTGTTCATGTGCTTGTGACAGAGGTAAAGAGAGAGCAAAGGAGACACAATCTCCATTCTCACACCAGTGCCTGAGCCCCACACTAATTAAGTCAGACTCTGGGAGTGGAGCCAATGCATCTGCTTTGTTTTAAAAGCTCCCTAGGAAAAGGAATAAGCTATTACGCCATGCAAAACCTGGATGAATCGTAAATATATAGTGCTAAGTGAAAGAAGCCAGTCTGTACTATATGATTCCACTTATATGACAATTTGGAAAATGTACAACTATGGAGATGCTAAAGAGACCAGTGGTTGCCAAGAGGGTTACGGAGGGAGCAGGGTTGAGTGTGTGAGGCACAGGGAATTTGTTAGAGTGGTGAAATTATTCTCTATGATACTCTAATGGTGAATGCATGACACTATGCATTTGTCAAAATCAGCAGTACTTTTTAGCAGAAAGGTTAGACCTTAACATGTGCAAATCTAAAGCAAGGCATGTAGGATGTCAGGGAATGCCAGGATAGAATGTGGACTGTGACAAGGGAATTCAGCTGTATTACAAATGTGTGAAATAACCTCTCTGAAGTGGGTGGGGGGAAAAGTGCTGACCTAAGTCTCTTTGAAATGAGTGGAGATCTGAGATTAAAAGCAAAAGAAACTATATGCAAGCACTGCACTCCACTAAGCAAGTTTCCCTCAGGGCTGTGGGTACACCCTGACACCTCTCTGCATGTATGTGGAACTGGACTCCAAGTGAATGGAAGACTGGTAATGGAAGCTATGCTTCTTACTCTCAGGAGGCTGCGTGCAAGCAAGGAGGGAAGGCCAGAATGATCTGTGTAGTAACAGATCAGAGTCAAAGACATCAGGCTGAACTCATGTTTAGCTTAACATAGATTATATGTATCTTAAGGTAGATGATGCATATAGAACTATTTTATAGATATGTGTATACACATGGGTTAGGATATACTGATTTATTTCCTTGCTTTGTCAACTAAGAAGCCCTAGAAGCAATGGCAGCTTAGTAGCCGTGAGCACACGAAGTACTTTGATCTTGTTTTCTAATACCAGTCTCTAATAAAAGGAAACTGTTCCTTGGGAAAACGGCTGATTCTGGGTCTTGTTAGGGAACATACAATATGAACCTAGAGTATTTTGTAGTGCCAGAAAGTAAGGAAGTTCTCAAAAAAAAAAGCCCACACAAGAAAAAACCCACAATGATGAGGGTATGTCAAAGAGACGCAGAAGCCAAGGCTGAAACACAAGGCTGAGTAACACAATAGTAGCAGTAGTATTAATGGTGAACAGCTTTGGGTCGTAACCTGAAGTGTAGAGTAAATATCCGTGAGTCCACAGTGAAATAAATGAATGATTGAATAGAGAGATATATAAATAAATGAGAATAGACACGTCTCCTATTCAGACAAATTCCACATAATTTATGGAGATATTCCACCTTTAAGAAGGTTGCATGGTTAACTTTTATGTGTCAACTTGATTAGGCTCTGGTATCCAGTTGTTTGACCAAACATGAGTCTACATGTTGCTTTGAATGTATTTTGTAGCTATAATTAACTTTAAGGGAAAGCAAATACCCTTGAAAACATAGATAGATCTTAGCTAATCAGTCAAAGATGTTAAGGGCAAAAACTGAAGTTTTTCAGAGAAGAAGGGGTTCTGCCTCAAGTCTGAAAACTCTTTCCAGAGAGCAGCCTGCTAGCCTGCCCTCCAGGTCCCAGACTTGCCAGCCTCAGGTCTTTAAGAGTCTCTCTCCCTTCCCCTTTCTCCCTCTCCTCTCCCCGCTCTCCCCCGACCACACACAGGCATATCCTCTGTTCCACTTCCCTGGAGAACCCTGACCGATACAGATGTGGACCATAACTCCTAACCCCCCACTCCCTCAGTGTGAACTGCTCGTGGTGATGGCGACTTCCTTCCAAAGAGTACAGTGTAGACAGAAGTAAGAGGTAGTTTTAGAGTGGAGAAAGTTGACAAACACTACCTCAAGCTTGGTGATCAAGGTCAACATCAGCAATGATGGATCATGTTGACAGCATGTAGCCTTGCCACGACGTAGTAAGAATGGCATTTCACCTCTGTTCTCTTCTTCCCTAAAACTCATAAGCCCAGCATAATCAAGAGAAAAAAATATTAGCTAAAATCCAAGTGAAGGACATTCTACAAACACCACCCCCACCCCCAAACTGTCAATCATAGGGAAAAAAACAAAGTCTGAGAGACTGCCAAAGCCAAGAGAAGCCTAAAAAATAAAAAAAGAGAGAAGCCTAAAGAGATAAGACAGTTAATGGTATCCTGGATGGGATTCTAGAACAAAATAAGGACATTTGAGAAAAACCAAGCAATCTGAACAAAGTATAGACTTTATTTCATAATAACACATCAGTGTTGGTTCATTAATTGTAACAAATGTACCACCCTAAATGTAAAATGTTAATCACAGGGGAAACTTGGTATGGGAACTCTATTCTATCTTTGTATCTTTTACATCTAAAACAACTATAAAATAAATATTTTATTTTTAAAAAAGCTTCTTAGACATTCTAATGTGCTGCCAATGTTGAGAATCGCTCCTCATCCACACCCCTGGGGAGATGCAATGTCCCAAGTTAGAATTCTAAATGCACTGCTTTCTAATGGGATTAGTCTTTGTACTCCCTATAGTCAGATGGGATTTTATTAAAATTGATTAAAATATTAACTATATTAAAGTTAATTAAAAGATACATAGATGTCTGGGATTACCTAAGATCCGGGAATCGGAGTCTCAGGAGAATAAGGGGAAGGGCCAGGTTCTGGGTGAACTTTAAAAGCTTCCCATGTCATTCTGAATGACAGCCCTCGATGAAATTGTTCCTCCTAAAGGATTCCTCAGTGGAGAAGTTAGATGGTTGTAATTAGCAATGTGCTTTGGGGCCCAGTGGGGTTTGCCTGGGAAACCTTTACCCCGCAGTAGCATTGTTCCTATGGGAAAAACCAGCAGAAAAACAGTAAAGCCTCCATGTCTTCAAGCTGGCAGTGGCTTCCCTGTGTTTGGAGAATGACGTGTGCTCTCTGCCTGTCCCCCATAGTTCTACAGCGTCAGCGGGATGCCCACCAGGAGTCTGTCGGACGACATCTGCGCTGTGTGTGGGCAGAAGATCATTGTGGAACTCGATGAAGAAGGGCTCATTGAAAACACCTACCAGCTTTCATGTAAGCATGTGTATCCTTTTCATGGGAGGCCATTTGGCCCTCCTCAAGCCAGTGCTGGGAGACAGAAAATCAGGGAAGACTGTCCCATCACCTCCCTCCTCCTCTGTCTCCTCCTTCTCCCTACTTCCTTATTAATGGTATCCTGGATGGGATTCTAGAACAAAATAAGGACATTTGAGAAAAACCAAGCAATCTGAACAAAGTATAGACTTTATTTCATAATAACACATCAGTGTTGGTTCATTAATTGTAACAAATGTACCACCCTAAATGTAAAATGTTAATCACAGGGGAAACTTGGTATGGGAACTCTATTCTATCTTTGTATCTTTTACATCTAAAACAACTATAAAATAAATATTTTATTTTTAAAAAAGCTTCTTAGACATTCTAATGTGCTGCCAATGTTGAGAATCGCTCCTCATCCACACCCCTGGGGAGATGCAATGTCCCAAGTTAGAATTCTAAATGCACTGCTTTCTAATGGGATTAGTCTTTGTACTCCCTATAGTCAGATGGGATTTTATTAAAATTGATTAAAATATTAACTATATTAAAGTTAATTAAAAGATACATAGATGTCTGGGATTACCTAAGATCCGGGAATCGGAGTCTCAGGAGAATAAGGGGAAGGGCCAGGTTCTGGGTGAACTTAAAAAGCTTCCCATGTCATTCTGAATGACAGCCCTCGATGAAATTGTTCCTCCTAAAGGATTCCTCAGTGGAGAAGTTAGATGGTTGTAATTAGCAATGTGCTTTGGGGCCCAGTGGGGTTTGCCTGGGAAACCTTTACCCCGCAGTAGCATTGTTCCTATGGGAAAAACCAGCAGAAAAACAGTAAAGCCTCCATGTCTTCAAGCTGGCAGTGGCTTCCCTGTGTTTGGAGAATGACGTGTGCTCTCTGCCTGTCCCCCATAGTTCTACAGCGTCAGCGGGATGCCCACCAGGAGTCTGTCGGACGACATCTGCGCTGTGTGTGGGCAGAAGATCATTGTGGAACTCGATGAAGAAGGGCTCATTGAAAACACCTACCAGCTTTCATGTAAGCATGTGTATCCTTTTCATGGGAGGCCATTTGGCCCTCCTCAAGCCAGTGCTGGGAGACAGAAAATCAGGGAAGACTGTCCCATCACCTCCCTCCTCCTCTGTCTCCTCCTTCTCCCTACTTCCTTTTGCCTTGCTCAGCTCCCTTCCCCAAACCCCAAGCCTTTATGCTCCTGTCCATTTTCTTATTGAGACTTTCTCCGAATCCCTGATGAATAATGAACTGCTCTTAGTTATCAGGCGGTAAACCTCTTTTCCTCCTCCTCCCCCAGTAATTTCTTGTTTAAAAGGAGTCTTCAGGCCGCACAGACAGGAGAGCTGCAGCATCTGAGCAGAGGCTGGCTGGAAGAGCTGGTGAAGCCTTAAGCACACAGGTAGCCAGTGAGGACCAGGGGAGACAGGGTGGGGAGCGAAGAACAGAGTGCAGTTTCAGCTGCAGGGCAGGACTCGGGACTTGCCTGGCGGAGCCCGTGTCTGAATCTCACAAGAACAAGAACGTCAGTGCCCAGTTTTTTACTCTCAGGACTGAATAAATGGAATCTGTCCAGATTAAACAGAATCAAATCATGAGTGCTGCACATCTACCGTATTAATGGTGGTGTGTTTTGCCTGAAAATAATTTTCAGGAACCTGCTTGTGTCAACAGTGGTGATGGGGAAAGCCAAGTATCAGCTTTGGTCTTGAAAAGAGGACACCTTAAATTACACAGGAAGGGACCAAAACAGGAGTACATGGTTCTGGACTGTTTGATGCCCTGGCCCATGGCTTGTGCCCCAAATCACTATCCACCAGCAGAGGGATCTTTAGGGACCAGCCCAGCCTGGCCCTGGAAACCAGCATCCTTACTGGCTGGTGAGAAAGGGCTCCATGTGCTGAAAGATGCTGGCATCAAGAGCCCTGGGCCAAGCAGGCTGCACTGCCTGGCACGTAACTCTGGATACCACAGTTGTCTTTGCATTGACCAACAATCAGTATTTTAATTCTTCTCTTAATACAGGGAAAAGAAGGCATCATTTATCTTTATTTTATAGTACAATATCAATTTTATAATACTGCTGTGCACTCAGTCAGTCCAAAGCTCTGGCATTATAAGCTGATCAAACCATCTGCCTCTTGCCTCTGAAGCCCACCGAACTCAGTCAGTAATACCATAGACGTGCAGCACTCATGATTTGATTCTATTTAATCTGGACAGATGCCATTTATTCAATCCTGAGAGTAAAAAACTGGACCAAATGCATCTGACATGTAATAGGAGCCTTTACTCCAACATTTAAGTCTTTACATTTTAAGGTAAGAAACACAAAGATATCCCATGTGGGATTCTATGTGGTTTTTCAGTGTGATACATTTCCCAAAAACCTATCATTCTTAGTAGAAATTTTCCAAGTCTGGTCCTAGTTTTAAATATGATTTAGTTTTCAAATGTTGGAACAGAGCCCCTTCTGCCATTTGCAAGTGGAAATATTTTCTCTCTCCACCTTTAAAAGCCCTTAGGAGCTGTTCTACATGTGTGCATATGTAATCGAAAATGTAGGCACCTTTAAATTTGCTTTGCAGGGAGCATTATTAATGGCCCATTTTAGCATGAGTCATATTAGCAAGGAGTGGGCAAACGTGAATCATATTAACAAGGGGTGGGAATCTGAGTCTTGCTCTGCAGAAATTCTGCTGGGGTAAAGGCTTTTCAGATGAGATGTTGAAGATAAAAGGGGATATTAAAGAGGAGATGAACATCTCAATGGTTGCTCAGTGACCCCTGAACTCCATCCATACCTATCTGGAGGGTATGGGCTACACTCCAGCTCTTTTGAATGAAGAACTGTGCAGGTTTTGACTCAGTATCTTTGTTATAATACACTTTATGTTAACCCAAACATGCAAAAATGACCCCAGTTCCAAGAACATAAAAGAATGGGAACTCTTGGTTGCACACACATGTAACACCGAGGAATCATCTACGTGGCCTTGATTGGCTCCACCTCCATGCCCTCCGTTAGTGAGGGAACTTCTACATGGGTGCTTAGCAGATCAGGGAAAGCCACGCTGGGATCAATGACTATAGAAGTCAATCAACACGATGAATCCCATAGTTAATCATTGTGTTTGTTGTTTAGTCGCTAAGTCATAGGCGACTCTTTCTGTGACCCCATGGACTGTAGCCCACCAGGCTCCTCTGTCCATGGGATTTCCCAGGCTGAATACTGGAGTGGATTGCCATTTCCTTCTCCAGGGGATCTTCCCCCACCCAGGGATTGAACCTGCATCTCCTGCGTTGGCAGGGGGGTTCTTCACCACAGAGCCACCTGGGAAGCCGCAGTTAATGATCTTACTCAAATCTATAAGCTGTGGAACCTGAGGAAAGTAAGTTTGCAGTAGTAATTGGTTTTGAATGATTCATTCAAATATTCGTTCAATAAATAGGCACGTGTGTGTGTGTGTGCACACATGCGCTTACTCGCTTAGTCATGTCCAACTGTCTGAGGCCCCATGGACTGTAGCCCACCAGGCTCCTCTGTCCATGGAGTTCTCCAGGCAAGAATACTGGAGTGGACTGCCATTTCCTCCTCCAGGGGATCCTCCTGTCCCAGGAGTCCAGCTTGAGTCTCTTGCATCTCCTGCACTGGCAGGCGGGTTCTTTGCCATAGTGCCAGCTGGGAAGCCCCCAGATAGGCACTGAGGCACCGCCTAAGGTGCTGAGCACAGAGCTGAATGAGGCACTGTCCCACAGGGAGCACATTGCCCAGGAGAGACAGGTAAATACACAAAAAGTCACGACAGAGTCGCCCGGGCTCTGTAGGGCTCAGTCCCTGGTGCTGAGGGAAAACGCGTGGTCCATTGTCAACTCTGGGGACAAAGCATCGATCTTTCTGGACAAGGGATTGTATACAAATGAATCTGTAAATGCCTAGATTCTATATATTCTATTTCAAAATACCTGGCTTCTTATCAGGAATAAAAACTTGAGAAAAAACTTATGAAGCTAATAGAAATATTTGTACAAATATTTGATCACAAATAATTTGACCTTGTCTAATCTCATTACATAGATTGTAATGGGTGGGTGCCCAAAAAGCCAAATGGGGAGATGCTATAATAAACGCAGAGAAATGCACAAAAAGTTAGGATATGTTTACATAAGACATCCTGTAAAAAAGCACATCCACATTCTTTGTCTAATTTAATCACAGAATCTGAGGTCAGAACCTGTAAGGCTAAGACGATCAGTAAACTCCTCAGGGTCATAAGCTTTGACTTCAAGCTCACTGTCCGTGGTGGCTGCATGGTCCTGCAGAGTCTCTAGGAAGGCAATGGACACAACCAAGTCAGGACTGAGAGCCATTCCTGCCTCCACGACTCCACCCAACAGGTGGGGTCACTTCCATCACATCATCATGAAGTAGACTTGCCCTTCAGTGTCCAGAAGCTTCCGTAACAAGATCCCTAAGCTTTCATGAATTCTGCATCCGAGGTTGGTGTATTGTTGGTAAAAAGCAGACGTGCCCTTACTGCAAAGAGAAGGTCGATTTGAAGAGGATGATCAATAACCCGTATCCTTTTTATGAAGTTATGAAATATTATTTTCTGGTGATACATTCTTTAATCTAAACTTTCTTTATCATCACTACAGGTACAGCAGAAAACACTGTTTTCCCTAACTACCTATTTCAAAGTGACTTGTCCCTTTTCTCACCCATATCTGTGTTACTATTCTAGTTAAGAGGTTAAATGCCAAAAAAAATACAGTCTACTCTTTGTATTCCACTTATTCCACTATAAGGGCTCTAGTGAAAATGTGATGGGACATTGCAAATATGGATAATATGAATATATGGAAGGATAAGTAGGTAGGCAGATAGATAGATGATAGATAGGCAGACAGATGACAAATAACGGGTGGATAAGATGAGTGGATGGGGAGAAAAATAGAATAGAAATTTAAAAGTCCAAACTGTGAGCTAGAATATAGAAAAGTATTTTTAAGGTGTACCAAATTGTATTATTTCCAGAAATGAGTAGAGTTTTTCCCCCTGAACTTTAGCTTCTTTAATTCCTTGCTGTATCTCATCTTTTCTTAGGCTAACCTAAGTAATAATAATGTTGAAAGGAGTGAACACCTACTACAGATTTGGTCAGTGAATGGCAACCACAGGACTTTTATAGACAGCAGGGACCCCCGACCAAATACACTCACTCTCATTTAGGTCGCAGGAAGAGAGTGCCCCCCTCTAGCGCTGACTGCAAAGCCTTGGCCCTCCACCCCACCAGCCCAAGAACACGGTGTCTCCTCCAGGGGAGTAAACAGAACTAAAACGCATCCCCTTAAGCAGAAGAGCCCTGAGGGGATGGCCACAGCCTGCCAAGTACTCCCTCTTAGCTCCTCAGTAGCAGCCTCCCTGCAGTCCGTCCCCTATGTGTGGACCTCCAAGTCGTGAACTTTCAGAGATGGGAACGGGCATTTGCAGGTTCAGTCATGTAAGTTAGTTCATGCGTCTGTTCAGCTATTGTACTGTACTACTGTACTTTTCATGGTACTGTACTGGAAGATTTAAAATGTGTCATTTTTTTGTTTGCTTGATTTTTATGTGTTATTGGTGTGAAAAGTACAGTATATAGATGATGATGTTAGTTGGGTACCTAGATAACTTTGTTGGACTCTGAAAGCACACTCTGAACGGAGCTCACTCATATGTAGGGGACTTACCATATTCCTCTGAGTTCCAGTCACCTGAATTTCACAGTGCTGAAGCAGATACCCCATCCCTGCCCCCCTGGCTCTTCACCAGCCCTAATTGTGCCGTTTTACCAATGGCTGTCTGCAGAAACGCCCCCGTGGCTGAGAACTGCAAGTCAAGGAAAGACTTGCCAGTAGAACAGCAGGGGCGGCAGCGTAGGTGGGCCCTGGGTCTCAACAGAGAGCCCGCTCCCGGCCGCCAGCTCCCCTTCCAGCTGCCCTGTCTCTCAGAACCCGGCCAAGAACAGCCACGGCCGAAGGCTGCCGTGCACCTTCTGTCCTCACCAGGCTGAGGCCAGAACAGCTTTTGGTTAATAACTCACTTCTGAAACCTCAGTATATAGGTCTTTGTTATAAAATGGGTGATAACATGATCATAAGTGTCACCTTGACGATCATCTAAATAATAAAAGACAATTGGTTTCTTTGACAGAATGAAATGGTCTTGAGAGAATAAGACCATTGAATATTGAATATTACATGTACTTTTGAATATTACATGTACTTTTTTTCCTGTGAAATACAGAACTGTGTTTCTGAATGGCACATCCTAACAACAAGCATCATTCCTCTAAGGCAGCTACAGAAACACATGCACTCCTTATTGAGATTCCATGTAACATAAATGATATGTATGAAAAGTCCGCCTTTCCGTGTATGACATGGCTAATAGAGATACTATGTACGAAGTTCCCTCAGTACAGTCCAGCCAAGGGACCAGCATAGGATATGTATTATCAGTGAACTAATGTCTTCCCCCTGATGAACTGATGGCAGAATAGCCCAGAGCTGTTTATGCTCACTTAACGGTAGTTTTCATTATCCTTGGTTTTCCACATTCATCATTCCCCACTTCCTATTTCTTTTAGTATGTGACGCTCACCTTTTATTCTTCTTTGGGATTATATTTGGGGATTTTATTGTACACTGTTTTACTTTTAGAAATTAGATGTAGTATAAATAACAATGACTATTTCTGCTACATGGCTAGATGTAGAGTAACCTCCTTAATTGAGATTCAGCTGGGAGCGCACACACTTTTTATATGGACAGATCCTGGACTGGCTTCGTTATCTGGTGGCCTGGCAACCCGTGGTAATAGGAATCGTTCAAGGCATTAACTATTCACTAGGGCTGGAATAGCATGGCACACTTACCCCAGAAGCAATGTACTGCATGTTGAAATATTTTCTAATACTCTTTTAATTTTTAGAGATCCCAAGAACTTAGAGAACTGAATAAAAACTGACACTGTCTGTGTGGAAAGAATTTAAACAGAAGCTGAGCAATGGAATAAACACAGAGGCCTTGCATCTTTCTGATTACGACCACGTTCTAATTCTCGTTTGTGACGCATATGGTACCACCACGGAAATGGCAACCCACTCCAGTATTCTTGCCTAGAGAATCCCATGGATGGAGAAGCCTGGTAGGCTACAGTCCATGGGGTCGCAAAGAGTCAGACACGACTGAGCGACTTTACTTCACTTTCACCGTGGACATCCCATCTCGAGTTTGGCTTACAGTGATCTCACCTGGGATGTGTTTCAGAGGTTTGCAAAGTACTTCTCACATACAATTTTATTGAGTTACAACAAATGCCCTCTTATCAGTTCAACATCTTCAAAGAAGTAGAGTCATTAAATCTATGGTTTAAGGACACGGTCTTTTGTGTTCTCTGTTCTTGTTACCCCGTGGCAGCTTTGGTACCACAGAGCCCTTCATTAGAGATCGCTCTCAAAACCTCTAGCACCGGGTGCTGCCGTCCACACAATGGGCCAGAGCTGCGCGGGGTGTCCTGGGGCTGCTGCTCGCTCAGCCCACCCACGGGTGACTGAGGGAGCACCTCCTTCTCTTATCTTGGGCCACTCTGTTCACACTCACACTCACACACACACACACACACACACACTTTCCATGGCCGTACTGTTTTTGTTTCCATCCCAGCCCTTTCCAACACCTGAAATCACATCACAGACTCATTTGTCTACTGTCTGTCTTCCTCTCCATGAAGACAGAGGATTTTATGTTTTGTTCCCTACTATCTTTGCAGCACTTGGGCAGCACCTGACACATAAGAGGCACCAATAAGTATCTGCTGAACAAATGAACCAATCCAACAAGAAAGAAAAAATTAACAGAACTGAGAAGACAAGTCAGAACAAATTAACCTAAGAATGGTATTACCATGTTGAACTCCCTCAAATTAATTCATTTTAAATTACTGGTCATTTACTAAATAGTCACCAATATACATCACACCAGACATCTGCAACACTTGAAGATATTACACTTGAATGAAGTAAAAAGGAAACACATTTATTGCCAAACACTGGCAATGCATTGCAACAATATAGGTGACCTAGATTATCCTGAGTGAAGTAAATCAGAAAGACAAATGTCCTATGATATCACTTATCTGTGGAATCTAAAATATGACACAAATGAACAGACTATGAAACAAAAACAGACTCAGAGACACAGAGAACAGACCTGGAGTTGCCAGTGGGGATGGGGGCCAGGGAACTGTTGGACTGGGAGTTTGGGATTAGCAGATGCAGACTATTATATATAGAAAGGATAAACAAGGTCCTACTGTATAGGACAGGGAACTATATTCAATATTGTGATAAATCATTATGGAAAAGAATATGAAAAAGAATGTACATATATGTATAACTGAATCACTTTGCCGTGCAGCAGAAATTAACACTATAAATCAATTATACTTAATAAATTTTAAAAAAATTTTGGCCATGTGCTTTATACAAAATTCCATCATAGTTATAATGATGAGATCTCACATTAAGATTTTTTTTGGCTGCGCCATGTCTTCATTGCAATGCACAGGCTTTCTCTAGTTCCAGGGCAGAAGCTTAGTTGCTCCGAGACATATGGGATCTTAATTCCCCCCACCAGGAATCAAACCTACATCCCTTGCATTGGAAGGTGGATTCTAAACCACAGGAACACCAAGGAAGTCCCTCACATTAAGATCTCTACCTGTTGGTAATTTTCCTTCTTGAAACTACTCAATGCTTCAGTATTACAACTGGCTCATCATCCAGATTATTAGAAGGTTTAACTCTATGTCCCTACTCAGCAGGCATTTCAACAATTCCATATATATTACATACCAGCCATATGCAAGGTTAAAGAGATAAAACAAGAAAAAAAAAGAGATAAAACAAGATTCTTGAACTAGGTATTGACAAAACACCTCGCAGTTGGATAAACACCAACTAAAACTTAGTTTTTCTTCTGTAGAAGAGTCCTTGATGGCCTCTGTTGTATTTGACCTCTGATGTATCAACCCCTGGGGTATTTGCCACTTATTTTTTATGGACAGCTGCATGATGACCCTTTAGAACTCTGAGCAAGTAAACCAATAGATGTCTGCATGGAATTGTGACTGAACTTCAGAGCTTAGAAGTGTTAGATAATTACCAAACAATATCAGGGAAAAAAAGATGCTATTTTCTTTATACAGTTTAAACATGTAAAATCTAATCTGTTTTATGAAGTAAAACTTCATATACACATTGAAAAAAATATACACATTGAAAAAATTATGGAGAGCAGTAACCTATCCAGTTACCAGCGGTTAGCTCAAGGTGGAGGGATAAGAGCTGACTCTTTCTTTTATATGCTATAGTTTCTTTTCCAGAATATCTACAGTTTAACATTTGTAATGAGAAAAATAGATTCTTTTCAAAACATTATTTTAGATCTGTCAATTAACTATGAAGCTGTTTCTGTTGCTGTTTAAATTATTGAAATTAAATCTACAGATCACATCTATGTTAAATTTGTCTGGTTCTCATGACAATTAACATTATACTTATGTAGGAAATAGAGAAGTAAGGCAAAAAGCCCATTTTGTATTTGGTTTCTGTGGAATCTCTAGTTTTTTCTTCCTGAACTTGTCTGTTTTTTATTAGGCTGGCTACTGTCTCCTCCATTGCATGCTCCCAGGAGTTTATAAGAGAGAAGAACCCACCCTGCGGGTTTCCCAAGGACTAAAGCCTATTATGCACTTAATGGACTTATTTCTTTGGTATAACTTTCTGCAAACAACAGAAAATATACCTGAGATCCCTGCTAGTACCTATAACACAAAAATGTTCATTTACAAACCATAATATATAAGGCGATGACTCACTTCTTGGAAAACAATAATGGCTAACATCTACCACAGGCACCTGTCGGCCTGTGTGAGCACCCGTGGTTTCCATTCTCTGAGAATGGCATGGTCCTCTTGCCTCCTCAGCCCAAAAAGAAACCCAGGGCCACACGCCTAGGGCTTTACTGACTCCGCTGCACATTGATCTCGACATAGGCCCCTCTGATGGATTCATTGCTACCCCTGTCTTTGTGACAGGAAAATATCTGGGGTCAGACTGAGTTACCCAAAGATACACTTGTCCTAACCCAGGGCTTTCTGACTTCAGACCCCAGTAAACCACACAGACCCAGTTCTGGCTATAGATTAAGCAAGGTCACTTCCTTCACACATGGTTCCCAGCTGAACAAGCGAGTTGCACGAAATCCATAAGCCGCTCCTTACTTTTAAATTTAATGCATTTATTTAATGCCTTATTATCTAGATTCTAAAAATTAACATATGGAAGTAGTATCTTTCTTTTAAATCATTGTGTATCAAATATTTTTGAGTCACTGTGAGGAACTTCTAGGTTGATACTTGCTTAAAAATTTATTTAGCTCACACATACTTCTATAACATTTGAGAAAGAGAGAAAAAGAGAGCCCTTTTTAGAATTAGAAACAAGACTTTTTCAAAGAAGGAAAAAGCAACATGATTCAGGGAGCTGAGAGCAGAGTAACCAGACACTAATGAGAACTTCGCACATCACTAAAGGCTGAAGATCAGAATCAGAGATATAGGAGACTTCTTTAAAATTCTTCAAAACTGAGTATTTATTTCATTAGTTTCATTTCCAGAGAAATACATAATTTACTGCATCTTGGGTTATATACCCTCTCTCAAGTAACTATGGCTGGAGAAACTTATCAAATACTGAGAAAGACAGGCACAGTTCATTTTAAAATACACTATCGAGGTATTTCAGTATCCTGTAAAGCTTATGGGGACACAAAACAGCACTTTTTTCCTAAGGAGAGCAATACATTTGGCTGAAGGACTTTAACATTTTGTTTTGTTGCTCCTGAGAGCAGTCACACACAGAAGGGAGAACGGGGATGAAGAACACCCTCTTCAGACGTGGATGAGCCCCTGGCAGAAAGCGGATGGAAAGTCACTTAAAATCTATTCATTTCTGCTGTTTCCTAATGAACTAAGCCAACTGCTACAGGTAATTCACATATCAATCATGGACTGAGATCATGACTGTCTCATAGGATAAATAAAAGCCTAGAACCATGTTTTTCCAATTTGGTAGCAGTTTTTATAAAACAGCACTCTAGACAAAATTTGAACAGTTTTAGTCATTTTAGTAAGCAAGTCCTCATTTATATAGTTTATATATGGTTGTTGTTCGGCCCCTAAATCCTGCCTGACTCTTTGCAACCTCATGGACTGTAGCATGCCAGTCTTCCCTGTCCTTCACTATTTCCTGGAGATTGCTCAAATTCATGTCCATTGAGTCAGTAATGCCATCCAACCATCTCATCCTGTCATCCCCTCCTCCTCCTGCCTTCAGTATTTCCCAGCATCAGGGTCTTTTCCAGTGAGTCAGCTCTTCACATCAGGTGACCAAAGTATTGGAGCTTCAGCTTCAGCATCAGTTCTTCCAATGAATATTCATTGGAGGGTTCACATATAATTGAGTCAGAATGGACTCAGTTATAACTAGTGATAGAAGGACCACCACCACACCAAGACTGACGCTTAATGAAGGATCCTAGGACCTTATTGCAGCTCTCAAATTTAACCAAAACCCTTCCTGCTGAGTCTCATCCGTGGGCCACTCCAGGTAGGTCTTGGTGTTCATGATCTTCCGCAGCTTGCAGAAGCGCTGGGGGATGGCCTTCTTGTCAATCGGCTCCAGCAGAATCAGAATGGCAGCATCATTGTTCTCATCAAAGAGACGGAAATGGGAGAAGTCCAGCTCATACTTGCACCACTCGCTCTTCACAAAGTTCTCCGAAAGCACAAAGATGGTTTTGTGGCTCTTTTCGATGGAGTCAATGATGTTGTCAATAATCCACTTGCCAGGAACGAAGTCTCGCTTATGAAGGCACAGCTTAAAGGGAGGGTTGAAGTGCTCCAGCTCCTGGACCATGAGGTTCTCCACCCAGTAGGAATCCCGCTCACTGTAGGACACAAAGGCGTCGTAGCAGACGTCCCTGCGGGGAGCCTTCCTGGGCTTCCTCTTGGCCTGCAGCCAGGCCCACATCATCTTCATGTACCACAGCCCGTGGAGACGGTGACACAGAACCCCTGTGAGCAGGAGCAACAGGAAGAGGGCACAGCACACGGCGGACACCACGGCCGCCCTGTGGCACTCAGAAAGGGAGAGCCGGGCGTCCTGCACCCGCTGGCCCCGCACGTGGGAGGGAGAGTCGCAGCGGTAGTCATCCGGCCAGTTGGCCAGGACGCGGGCCAGTGCCTGCTGCCCCTGCATGAAGGCCAGGAAGTCACAGGAGCAAATGAAGCTGTTGCCACCGGCCTCCAACCAGTGCCTGCTGCCCCTGCGTGAAGGCCAGGAAGTCACAGGAGCAAATGAAGCTGTTGCCACCGGCCTCCAAAGTCTTCAGTTGTTGAAAAGAATCAAGTTGTTCCTTCGAGAAACTATTTATTATATTTCTGCTAATTCTCATAATTGATAACACGGGTAAGAAGGAGGCATCTGGTAGAGTCTTCAACTTATTTCTGGAAATATAAAGTTCTTTGAGTTGCGGCAAAATCAAAGAAAATGAATCGAGATTGTTATTGCTAACATCTAAAACTTCCAGGGTCTGGGGAAGGCACTGGGTTAAACTATGTATCCTTGCGCTGGATAAGTTCAACTGTTTCATTCTTCCTGGCCACTGACAAGTTTCAGGCATTGAAAGAAAATTATTCTTACTGATATCAAGGTTAGTCAAATTTTTCAGAGTAAGCAAAAGTTCTCCAGTTTTTTCTAGTGATTTCAAACGATTCTGCCTTAAAACCAAGGTTTGAAGGAAGGGCCAGGCATTCTCACAGGCTGAGTTTTTCAAGGTTTCTTCAGACATTAAGTTTTCACTGAGATCCAGATATTCTAATGACTTTAAATGTTGCGAAAGTAAACAGGGAACCAGAAACACCTTGCTGTTCTCTATCGTGACTCTTCTAACTCTGCCTGTGAGTGAATATATGCTACTCAGATCATAAAATAAGAAAAACTGTGGAATGTGCAACTTCCGTATTGTCAGCGTTTCCACGTTCCCTAGGTATCTAATTCTGTCCAGTGTTCTAAAATCGCCAATTCCATCATGGGTACAGTCATCAAACTCTACTTCTAAGATCCCAGAAACATAGTTAAACAGTTTGACAACTTCAACAAAACTTTCGTCGGTGAATTGCACATTTCTAAATATAAGCTTTTTAACTGATGTATTCATTTGACTGATGGATGCTTCTGAAAAATGGAAAGTGTGCAAATTAGTATTGCTCAGTTCTAAATAATCTAAGGAACTTACAATATCTACAAGAATGTCCAGGAGTAAAACAGGCTGCTTCAGATGAAGAATCAGACGGCTAATGTTCTGGATTGACTTTAAACTCTTTGGCGCATACATCTGCAGATTTTGAGCATTGATCTCAAGCTCCTCAAGAAAAGTCAGTCCAGCGAAATCCTGTTCATGAATCTCAGTGAAGCTGTTACTATTTCCTACTTTCAGGGTCCGCAGATTTGGGAGATGAGAAAAAAGAGATGCTTCTCCAAGTGTTTTGTATAAATTTCCCAGTAAGTTTAAGAATTTCAAGACATAAAGGGACCTGAACCAGGAGGATGATAAGTTAGATAAGTGATTATAGGATAAGTCCAAATATTCAAGACTCCTCAGGTGAAAAAAAGAATCTTCCTCCACTGTATGAATTTCATTGGCCCCCAGCCTCAGAGTCTTCAGGTTCACACACCTCTGCAGGTCTCTGTTGCCGACATAGGTGATCTCATTGTTGGACAGGTCAAGGCTTTTCACACCTGCCGTGAGACCAGAGGGGATGGAGTTTAAAGATCTGGAATGGCCATCGCAGACACCAACTGGGTCACAAGACAGAGAAGAAGCCTTATCAGAGGCTCCTTCTGTGGACAGGCTGATGACAGCCCAGACCCACGCTGTCCATAAAGCACGTGGCATTGTCCAATGATTTGACCTACAAAGAAAAGAGGTTGAAATGAATGATTGTGTTTGACATCATGGCTTAATTCCAGTTCTTGAGAGATGTTCTGTAAGATATAAAACATGAGACTTCCCGGGGTCCAGTGGTTAAGAAGCCACCTGCCTACGCAGGGGACTCGCCTGCATCTCAGCTACTGAGCCCATGTGCTGCAAGTACTGAAGCCCATGCCCCAGGACCCCCGCTCCACAACGAGAGAAGCCACCACACGCAGCAACAAAGGCCGAGCCAGCCACAAGTGAGTAAGATATAACACACACTCGCACACACATATCAGTTCAGTTCAGTCGCTCAGTCGTGTCCGACTCTTTGTGACCCCATGAATCGCAGCACGCCAGGCCTCCCTGTCCATCACCAACTCCAGGAGTTCACTCAAACCCATGTCCATCGAGTCAGTGATGCCATCCAACCATCTCATCCTCTGTTGTCCCCCTCTCCTCCTGCCCTCGATCTTTCCCAGCATCAGGGTCTTTTCCAGTGAGTCAACTCTTCGCATGAGGTGGCCAAAGTATTGGAGTTTCAGCTTCAGCATCAGGCCTTCCAACGAATATTCAGGACGGATTTCCTTTAGGATGGACTAGCAGGATCTCCTTGTTGTCCAAGGGACTCTCAAGAGTCTTCTCCAACACCACAGTTCAAAAGCATCAATTCTTCACACACACACACACATATACACGAAGAAATAACCAAGAGGGAAATGGAATGTATGAATAGGATAAAAAATGAATTCCCTAACACCTCCCGCAACACTAACACAGAAAGACCGCCACTGAACAATGACATAAAAAGCATAGTACCACCTGGGAATATAGAGCAGGACCAATCACAGATTGGAAAATGAGTAAATGAATGATAGAGGATGAAAAAGCAAGCAGTTTAAGAAAGGGGCTAGGCTTAACCAAGTGGATTTACAACCTCCTATTTGTACCCTTCAGATCTTCCACTAGAACACACCTCTTGTTTGACCTGATGCCCCCAAGTGTTAGAGGGCTCACAAAGCCAAACCACAGCTCTCTCTGACCACCTTTCACTAGAAGCAGCTCCAGGAAGAGTGTGCTCTTTAACCAAAAGAAAAAGGTTCCATGCTTGTCAACCTGTTTTGCACTTATGACTAGCAGACAAGAGGGATGCTGAGAATCCTAGGCAGAGCAAGGGGGTTTGTTGGGTTGAGGGACAATCAGATCATCAGAACTTTCTCTTCCCGAGAAACTAAGTGCAGGGAGCAGTGTTTGACTCAGTGTGTGTGTGTGTGTGTGCGTGCACACGCACATGTGTGTGTGCATGCGTGTGCACGTGTGTGCACGTGTGTGCATGTGTGCACGTGTGTGCGCACGTGTGTGTGTGCATGTGTGTGCGTGCGCATGTGCACACTCAGTTGCTCAGTCATGTCTGACTCTTTGCAAGCCCATGGACTGTAGTTCACCAGGCTCCTCTGTCCACGAATTCTCCAGGCAAGAACACTGGAGTGGGCTGCCATTTCCTCCTCCAGGGGATCTTTCTGACCCAGGGATCAACCCACGTCTCCTATGTCTCCTGCATTGCAGGAGGATTCCTTACCTGATGAATCACTGAGGAAGCTATTTGACTCAGTACATTTTTCAAAAGATCATTTTGGGGAAACAACAATACCACCTTTGCCAACACTCACACATCCATCTAAGGGTGAGTGTGCCTCCTCAGGGCTCTCTATTCGGATCTGATGTCTACTCATCTATCTTTGTACTGGTAACACTAAATATGTGACACATCTTCATATCCAGAAGAGCAAGGCCTTCCTCCTTGTTCTTCTTGAAGTGAGCCTTGGTTAGTCTTGGCCCTCTGTATATTCTTATAAACTACAGAATTAGCTTAGCAGTTTCAAAAACAAAATCCATCGATTTTAACTGGCAATGCCATGAATCTATAGATAATTTGGGAATTACTGACATCATTACAATATTGAAGCTCTCAATTCATGAGCATGATATATTTCTATTTACTTTGGTCTTCTTTATCACAATAATACCATATAGAGGTCTTGAGCATATTTTTGTGATATTTATTCCTAGGCATTTGATACTTTTGAAGTTTTGAAAATAGTGTTACTTATATGTGGCATATACCTATAGATACAGAGAGATTCAATTAAATTTTACATATTTACCATGCATTGAGCAACCTTGCAAAACTAATTCAGCAATTTTCACAGTTTATAAATTCCTGTTTATTTGCTACATACACAATCATATCATCCAGGTACAATGATCATTTTATTTCCTTTTTTCAATCCTTATACTTTATTCTCTTTATTAGTAAATGCTGAATTTTATCAAATTCTTTTTTCCTTCCTATAACTATTGAGATGATATTTCCTTCTTTACTTTGTTAATAAATATTGGTGACTAAATGGATAAACTTTAAAGCAACCTCACATTTTTAAAATAAACCCACATTTTCCTGGATATATTATCCTTTTTACATATTGCTGGATTTTGTTTCTAATATTTTGCTTAGAATTTCTGAAACAGAAATAAAATTGCCCTTTAAATTTCCTATCTCCTAAGGTTTTTGTTGTTGAATACATTAAATACATTAATTTAACAGTTACAGAATGATACAGATTTTCTTTTTATTCTTTTGTCAGTTATGCTTTTCAAGGAATTTATCAAATTTTCTCCTAATTTGTCAAGCTTACTGACATAGTTACTTATATCCTCTTATTATTTTAATGTCTACAGGACCTCTATTCTATTCCTTAGATGAGTTATTCATGNACCCAAACTCATGTCCATTGTGTTGATGATGCCATCCAACCATCTCATCCTCTGTCGTCCCCTTCTCCTCCAGCCTTCAATTTTTCCCAGCATCAGGGTCTTTTCAAATAACTAAGAATTTTTCATAATTAAAGAAAGATGTAAGTTCACAAATTATAAATGTATGTTAAATCCCAAGCAAAAAAAAAGAATAGAAATTTCTCATCTAGCCTCAAAACAATGGAATAATAGCCCCAAAGGGCTGAGAAAACATACCTGTTAGCCATTTATATCCACTTAAATAATCATCCAAGAGTAAAGCTAAGACATTTCCAGCCATTCAAAACCTAAAGAAGAATTTTATGCATAGACTGTTGTTGCAAGAAGTACCCAAACACATATGTTCTTTAGCAACATGGAAAATAAACCTGGTAAGAATAGGCAAAAAAAAAAAAAAAGAATAGGCAACAAGAAGCAACTGGATTTTAACATAAAGATTGCTAAGGAAGAAGACAGCACTCAGAAACTCAGACACGCCGCTGCTGTATGAGGACACAGTGATGTAAATTTTAAATGATATTGTGGAGATAAAAAATTGTTTTATGACAAGCAATTTACTTAAAGATATTTATGAAGAGGTTACACCAAGATGCCACATATAATTAATTATGCTCGATCACCAAAATCAAAACAAGGTATTTAACCAATCAAGTCAAATTTTTAACTAACACAATGAAAAAAAAAATTAACTGACAGCTTAGAAACTTTCAAAACAAGTTGTCAAGTTCAGTCAATGTTTGTAAAACGCCTTCAGTACAAAAAGTTTAAAGATACAAATGTTTTCTGCTCAGAACAGGAAGAAACAAAATACTGGTGAATAAGTCCTTTTCAAATAGGATATCTGCCTTTTTTTTGTCTCTACTTTCAAGTCAGGTCATCCTCCCTCCCAGTTGCTTTTTGACGAAGATTTGAGTTAACAACGTTGTAAGCAGTGCAGACGAGACCTTCTACAAGATTACAAGCATCTCACCCACCTGAACTGCTCACACCCGAACAATTTCTCTCTCTTCTCCCAGATTTCCGCCCCCTCCCCCCCAAACAGGAAAAATATTTTCCTGCCAGGCATCTAAGTTCTAAAGACAAGTTCTCATTTATAGAAGTTGAAAGGGCGTGAAGCCCACCCCGGGGACAGAGGCCAGGCTCGGGGTGCGGGGAGCGAGAGTCCTGGGCAGCTCCGAGTCCTGACCCTGTCCCACTTCTGAGCCCTGTTGGGAAATCCCAGGCCTGGAAGCTGGGTCCCTGCGGTGAGCAGGGAGCGCAGACGCTTCCACTAAAGCCCCGTCACAGCCGCTCCGAGTGAAGCAGGCGGGAGCGGCCGGGGCAGGCACAGCGGCCGGCGAGAGGGCGGCCCTTCGGGGAACCGTAGCCAGCCGCCCCTCGCCTCCGGGAACGCGGCCGCGCACAGCGCGGAACCCCCTAGGAGGCTGGAGGGCCCTGCGCCCCGCGGACACCCGGACGCCGAGGGCTGGGCGAACCCCGGCCGCGCCCCCGTCCCTTTCCGGGCGGCCCCCGCTCCTCCGCGGCGCTGCGCGGGCGGGGCTGCGGGAGCCTCGGGGCCGAGGGCTCCACTCTCCCCGGGACCCGCGCGGCACGACGGGGGTCCTGGGTGCCGCCGACCGGGAAGCGGGGATGCCCGGAGCCCGCGTCCGCGCTCGGCCACCCTGGGGCCCTGCCTGCCTGGCCACCCGCCCGGTCTGGGGAGGGCTGCGGAGCGGGGATGCCCGCGGATGCGAATTCCTGCCCGACGTACCTGGGACTTGTGCGGCCGCAGCCAGGCAGCGCTCTCCACAGCCTCCGGCCGGGAGCAGCCCCGAAGAGCGCGCGGGACGGCGCGCGCCGCCGGAGCCCCCTCCTCGCGGGTGCGGGACCGCCCGTTCCGCGGAGCGCGCGTGACCCCTGCGGCCCAGCGCGCCGCCGCGCTTCCCCGCGGGTCCAGTGGCAACCGTGCCCCAGGTGCAGCCCGCTTAGCTGCCAGGTGCTGCCCGGGTCGGAGGAAGGCGCTGGGGCCCGGGTTGCGGGGAGACGCTTCAAGCCTCCGTGTGGGATTCCCCCACCACACAGATTTCGAAACCTACGAGAAGGCTTATTACCCAACCAGTATTTTCCTGAAGCCTCGAGCACCCAAAGCCTCTTATTACCCTGAAACACTCGGTCTTTAAACTCCACCTCTCCATTCTGCACCCTTGGATGCCCAAATTCAGGCTCACCCCTGCCCCTACGCCCTCTTCAACAGTTTCCCCGTCAGCATATCGACACGGTCCACTTCCACTCCCAAGTTTATGCTCTCCTCGTTAAAATAACTCATCAATCACTATCCAGACCACCGCAGCAAGCTTTTGCCTGAAGAGCAGATAAGGACGACAGGGAGTTTAAAATTTCCAATCGTGGTGGTCCCTTTGTGGTGCGCTGACTGCCATCTCCCATCCCTGTTCTCATGGTGGAAAGATGTGGACTCCCACTTAGGTCTACGATTTTGAACCTAAGCTCTTCCTTTGTGCATTCCATCCTTATTTCTCAACGTGGGTAATTCCCCAAACAAACAACCTAGTTTGGCTTTCTTCTTTGCCACAGAAACTAGTGAAGCATGTCTGTAAGGGAAACAAACTACCTTAATAGTCATAAACTGCATTTTATTTTGGTAATTACATTTGACCTTCCTAAATTGAGATTGGAGGCTGAGGCAGCGTTCTTGTTCCCCTTTGACACAGGAGGAAATGCCATGCAAATTCTAAGTGGCAGAAATGAGATTTGAAACCAGAATTTTACCCGAAACCAAGGTTTCTTTCTTTCCCCTATTCTACATGCCTACTCCTCATTAAAGGCTCCAACCTCAGGTAGACTTAATCTACAGGCATGAACGTGAATTTGAGAGGGTGGAATCTGGTTTTTTGTAGTTTACTGATTACCTGTGGACTTTTCTCTGCATTCCTGACCATCCTGAAGACTTCCTTATTACTTCAGAGTATGCCCCTCTCTTGCTCATGATTTCTCAAGTGGATCCTTGGGAAAACTTCTTTCCATTTTTTTTGCCCTGAAACTAAAACCTCAGTTCTTTCTCTGTGAATCTTTTCTAGTACAGCTGCCTAGATTGACCGACCGATGCTATTGCTTTGTAATCCCAAAGTCAATTAGAATATTCTGACAAAGTTAGGTAAAAATCATGTATTTACCCACAACGTATTACCAGTGTTATCTCCTTGCAATGAAGATTTCTCCTACACTCGCTGCAAAACTCCACACATTCTACTCTGGCACATCTTTATAGTTCTTCACATTTTCAAAGCATTTTCATATGAATCTTTTCACTTGAGTCTCCCAATAGCAGATGAAATAAATAGTTTTTATATTATTACACCTTCCAGTTCAAGTGATTAAAGAATTTGACTCAAGTCATATGGCTCACAGCCAAGTGGCAAAACCCAGGTTAGAGTCCAAAATACCTTAGCTTCTTTTCAGTAGGATATCAGACCTTCTCTAACTCAAAACTTATTTAACCACAAAACTTATTTAAAAAAAAAAGAAAATGAACACAATATGAAAATGTATCCACTTAAATATAACTTTCATGGTTACATTTTTGAGATATTTGATTGAAATATTTCATCCACATTTTTGAGAATCTGACTGAAATTCTAAAATGAAGTTATCAAAAAACACAGTCTGTGTCTTATTCACATAAAATATTTTGTACTAGCTAAAGAAAATAATAAAAAATAACATCTGTCAAAAATAGCTTAATGAAAATCTGCTGTAATCCTTGCACTAATTAATATACAGATCTTTGTACACAAACACTCATTCTTCAAAATTTTTCTACTTTGGACAATGTCAATAACATCTGTAATTTTGAAGAATAGAATTTAATAGTGCCTATGCAAAATGAATATAATCAGATTGATAATATTCTTTGCAGCTGAAGATGGAGAAGCTCTATACAGTCAGCAAAAAACAAGACGGGGAGTTGACTGCGAACTCAGACTTAAATTGAAGAAAGTAGGGAAAACCACTAGGCAATTCAGGTATGTGTGTTAGTGGTTCAGTCATGCCCAACTCTTGCAACCCAATGGACTGAGGCCCACCAGGTTCCTCTATCCATAGGATTTTCCAGGCAAGAATACTGGAGTGGGTAGTCATTTCCTTCTCCAGGAGATCTTCCAGACCCAAGGATCAAACCTGGGTCTCCTCACTGCAGGCAGATTCTTTACCCATTGAGCTACTGGGAAATGACTTAAAAATTCCTTATGAGAATACAGTGGAAGTGAGAAATAGATTCAAGGGATTAGATCTGATAGACAGAGTGCCTGAAGAGCTATGGATGGAGGTTCGTGACATTGTACAGGAGGTGGTGATTAAAACCATCCCCAAGAAAAAGAAATGCAAAAAGGCAAAATGGTTGTCTGAGGAGGCCTTACAAATAGCTGAGAAAAGAAGAGAAGGGAAAGGCAAAAGATAAAAGGAAAGATATATTCATCTGAATGCAGAGCTCCAAAGAATAGCAAGGAGAGGTAAGAAAGCCTTCCAAAGTGATCAATGCCAAGAAATAGAGGAAAACAATAGGATGGGAAAGACTAGAGATCTATTCAAGAAAATCAGAGATGACAAGAGAACATTTCATTCAAAGACGGGTAAAGGACAGAAATGGTATGGACCTAAGAGAAGCAAAAGATATTGAGAAGAGGAGGCAAGGACACACAGAAGAACTATACAAAAAAGATCTCATGACCCAGATAACCACGATGGTGTGATCACTCACCTAGAGCCAGACATCCTGGAATGTGAAGTCAAGTGGGCCTTAGGAAGCATCACTA